ATACAAGACCTTTCCTATTAAGGTTTCTCTATGGCTTGATCTCTTAAACTACCTGTTCTCTCATTTGCTCTTCTCTACTCAGAATACCAATCCTGAATACATAAACTGTTCTCTTTCCTCAAAACTTTTGCCTCTTAACCTGGAAGCATGAGTGGCTTTCTCCCTTTTTATTATTATGGTCTCAACCAAAATGTCCCCTACTCAAAACAGGCCTTCTTTGAACATCCTTGTCGAAATAGCAACACACTCCAGTGCTACTTTCTATCCTGCAAATCCTGCATTATTTTTCATTTTAATATTTACCCTACCTGAAGTGTTGTATATTTATTTATTTGTTGTTTATTTCTTCTCACTAGAACCCAAACACCATTAATGCATGTACTTATAATGTCTGCTTTGATGTCTTAGAAAATCATCAAGCATATGGTAAGTATTCAATAAACTGTTCCACCAACAAATCAGTGAAGGAATAGGTGGACTAGTCAAAAAGTGACTAGAAATGCAGAAATACACCACAGTGGGCTGAAAAGGTGATTTCTAAAACTAAAAGAGACTACTAAATCTAATATATAAAAAGCAACAACAATAAGATACAATAAATCTCCCATTGTACACCAAGCAGAGTTAGATTTCTGTGGGAGCACACAAATCTAACTCTGCTTGGTGTACAGTGGAAGATGCTGTGAAGGTCACACCACAATTTTTGACCCCTCTCTTCTAGAGTCTCCAAAGATGCTCTTTTCACTCCTGATATTGGTAGACAAGATAAATTGAAGCTACTCACTATATTGACGTTATAGCAAAAGAGAAAAATATCAACAGTGCTTTGTTTACAGTGAGTTTCCCCCCAGTATTTTTTAAAAATTGAGTAATATTCTTTCAGTGAAAGCCATGCATTTAGGAGTCACCAGGTTATCCTACTATGGAGGTTTGGAAAATTAAAGAAAAGTTTACTCTGGTGTGTTCCTGATTAAATGATACCCTATGCCCTTATTGTCATTTTGGTTGTCTTTTTTCCAACTAATGTTTTACTACACTTATTAGTTATTCATAAAGACAGTTCATTTACTTTTTCCTTCAAAATTAATAAACATTTCTATTAATTAGTTTTCATAAGAACTTGATATACAAGCTCAACTGAATAGCCAAAGTTATAAAATAAATAGCACGACTTGTGAAAATAAATTTTAGGGGGAGGGGTACTAGAAATTGAACATAGGGTATTCTACCACTAACCTACATCCCCAGCCCTTTTTTATTTTGTAACAGGGTCTTGCTAAGTCGCTTAGGGCCTTGTTAAGTTGTTGAGACCAGCCCCAACTTTCGATCCTTCTGCCTTAGCCTCCTGGTTACTGGGATTACGACTGTGCACCACTGTGCCCAGCTACAAATGAATATTGAATAGTGTAAACCCATATCAAAAATTATAACTCAATGGGGAAAAATTAAAGGAATTTCCTTTAAAATCAAGAATGAGACATTAGTCTCTACTCTCAGCACTCTTTTTAAATTTAGCCCTGGAAACTTTAGCCTGAAAAAGAAATAAAAGAGATTCAAAAGGAAAGAAGAGAGTGAAATTATCTCTGTTTGCCGATGATATGATTCTATACTGAAAAATTCCTCAAGACTCCCCAAAGTATCTCTTAGAATGATAAACCAGTCTTCCAATGTAGCAGGATACAAAACTAACATATAAAAGCCAATAGCTTTTCTATATAGTGAATCTGCTGGGGGGGGGAATGAGAAAAACAGTTGCATTCATAATGGAAGGAAGGAAGGAGGGAGGGAGGGAGGGAGGGAAGGAAGAAAGGAGGGAGGGAGAAGGGAAGGAAGGAAGAAAGAAAGGAAGGAAGGAAGGAGGGAAGGAAGGAAGGAAACAACTCCTAGGAATAAATTTACCCAAGAAGGTAAAGATATCTACAATGAAAACTACACAACACTGAAGAAAGAAACTGAAAAAGACCCTGGAAGATGGAAAGACCTCCAATGTTGTTCATTAGGCAGATTTCCTACCCAATATTTCATTTAACATCCAGGTGAAGAAGGCACAGCCATCTTGGTGGTGCATGCCTAGAATCCCAGTGGCTTGGGAGGCTGAGGCAGACAAGACAGCCGTAGCAAAAGTGAGGCTTTAATTTATTTTATTTTATTCAGGGACTCTGTCTCTAAATAAAATACAAAATAGGGCTGGGGATGTGGCTGTGTGCCCTTGAGTTCCATCCCCAGTAACCCCCCACTCCCAGAAAAAGAATAAAGGCACAAACATTAGTGGGATAGTATTTACTAGGTTTTTAAAAATAACAATCTTTTTTAAAATTGAAAATGGTATGGTTAAAATTAATTTAGCCTGAAATGTCATTCTAAAGATAAAGTGTAAAGTAAAGCATTCATCATGATAAATGTTTAAACCGAAACAAGATATCTCCCTTCAATGGTTCTGAATTTCCAAAATGAACCATGGAAATGGAGGGAACACCTTTTTATTAGTAGACTAGTTTTCCCAGAAGAAAAGGGAAAATCAAGTCCTGCAATCAGTCACCAATACTTATCTTTCAGAGGTTTTTGTCCTCCAATATCAGAGTGGAGGGTGATGGGTCGCTGCACATACTTTATTGTAGGAGGCTAAGGAATATCTCTCACCCATGCAACATTCATGGAGAAAAATACAACACTTTTTTTTTTCTAGTTAGCATATTAGTCAAGTATCATAATCTTAGAGAGACATATAGGAATTATAACATTATATTTTTTTCCTGGTATGTTTATAGGAAAAATTACGTTTTCCATGGTTTCAATGATTTTCAACAGATTTTTGAAATTTATGATATACCAGACTGCTAAGGTACTTCTAAAGATATTTTCAATACATCTTGCCTTTACATAAAGATAAATAAATATTCCATTACTCATTTACATAGTGAAAATTTATAAATTAAAGATAAAAGAAGAAAATGCTGGAGTTTTATTTCATAATTTTGAAATTTAAATTTTATATACTTTTAGGTACTTAGGACATCATTTTACAAGTGATAAATTTTTTTAAAAAAACATAAATATTCTTTTCACAAAAAAGTAATTTAAGAAAGACTACATTAGCATCGAATGTCAATATTACATCTTATAAGCACTTGAAAGTTTTAATTGCTTATAAAACCACTTAAACACATTAACTTAGAAACAATATTGATCTCTTAGAACCAGTTAAAGAATCTAAGTAGAATAATTATATTTATATTAGCATTATGTCAGCAGATTCTGGAACATATCTGACCTACTTTTCTACCTTTGTAAAAAATGCATTAATTTTTGAGGACTATAGTCATTATTAATATATTAAAAAGAGAAAATGGTTTCTGGTGAAGCTTTCAGAGTTCAAATAAAGTCTTGTTAAAGATTTGTTTCTTCTATAAATTTCATCCCACATGCCAAATAAAATGGAAATATCAAGTCATGCTAAACATTGAAGCATTAGTATTATGTTCTCATTTTAATATAAAATAACAAAGGAAATATTTCTCAATAAATAATGGAATCAAATATTATTCTGCATGTAACCATTCTTTTGATACAGAAATTAGCTTTTAAAAATTATTTCTTTATTATTAAGCAAATAAAGCATCCATAAGGGGAAAACTAAACATCCTCAATGGAATTCATGACCTTTTATAATTTTCAACAATAAAGAAATACTGAGTATAAGAGATCCATAATTAGGCATAAGCAATATAAAGTTCCTCACGGTTTGGATGTGAGATGTTCCCCAATACTTCATGTGCGAGACAATGCAAGACGATTTAGAAGAGAAATGATTGGGTTATGATAGTCTTAACCCAATCAGTGAGTTAATTCCCTGAAGGATTATCTGAGTGATAACCTAAGGTAGTTAGGGTGTAGATGGAGGAGGTGGGTTGGGGGCATGCCTTTGGGTTATGAATTTTCTATCTGGGGAGCAGAATATCTCTCTTTCTGCTTCTTGATCATCCTGAAAGCCCATTCCCTCCACCATACTCTTCTGCCATGATGTTCAGCCTCACCTCCAACCCCAAGGAATGGAGCCCACTTTCTATGAACTGAAACCTTAGAAACCATGAGCCCTCAAATAAACTTTTCCTTCTCTATAATTATTCTTGTCAGGTCTTTTAGTCACAGCAGTGAAAAAGCTGACTAAAACAAACTTCAATAGCATAGAGTTTTGACATGAACAAGGAAAAATATCTCATAACAATAACACTTTTATGACAAATCATGAAAATCATGAGTCTCAAAAGTATGAAGTGCTGTTTTAAACCAAATTATATGGAAAGCAATTCAGGTGTCTACATCATTCCAATTTTATCAGTTTTTTCCTCATACTCTTAAGAATTGCCTTTATATAATTCTAATTATATTCACTTTTCTTGGTACAAATATAAAATAGTTGATCTCAAGCTTTGGCTTAAAGTGAAACACCTGTTCTTAAATGGGGAAATAATATACTTCATGTTTTTAATGTACATATAGCATCTCTACTCATAGCATTTAAATATTTATTTGCATATTCGCTTAAATACTTAATAAATATTTCAGAGAATGAGTCCATATTTCAAATCTTAATGTTGACTTTTATTTTGTAATGATTACATCATTACTTTTTGGTGACCTAGCATTGCTAACAAAAATGTAACTGCTGATAAGGCTTAAATAATTCATTCTAAACCTTTAACTTGAATTAGTATAAACAACAGACGTGAAACTCCTAAATCACATGCATCAAAGATTATGATAAAATCCCTGTATCTTAGATGTAGGGCAAACAACTGTTCCACAAAGTAGTTAACACCTTTACCTTCAGCTAGCAATAAAATAACAATGGAGAGAAAAAACAATGGTTTAAATATTTGAAATCATGTTCTTAAAGATTAAAACAGCTTACCTTGCTTCCTATGCATCAACTATCTAGTTTAAACTATTTTTTAACCTAAAAATATGAAAAAAAAAATTCTTTCTGGTTATTTCTTTACCTTGAAAGGCACTGGCTCTTCAGTGAGAGGACTAACAGGAAGCGAAGTGGTGCTGCTTGCTGGGCTCATGTCTGCACTCTGTGAAGAAAGAGAAACTACAATGAACAGGGGCCTTTCTGTAGTCATTCTTGCCACTCATACCTTAGAATCCAATGCTTCTTGTTATAAGAAACAGATAAATAAATAAGGACATATAAGAATCCAAATCATGATTATTTAATCATCGCTCATATAGAAATAGTTATCTGGGAAATTAATCAAACTATCATTCTTCATGGATCTTTTTAGTGTATTTCATTAAATATAATGGCTACCAAATTCATCTCATAAATACAAAGATATTTAGCATTATCTTTGCTGAACACATAGACTTGCATTTTCTTTTAAAAATTAATCTGTATCTGTAATGACCTATTACATTGCTATTTCAATGTCTTTTAGTTGATTTTGCAACATGCATCATGCATTTTTTTTCCTTCCACAGAAATTTAAGTTAATGGACCTAGCTTTATTTTTCATCATAGAAACCATATCTGTCAATAATATACAAATGAAAACTAAAGAAATATTAAATTTAAGAAGTTCCTATATTTATAGTTTCTGGTATTCTAAAAGCTCTCTTACATTTTTCTAGATAAAAAAATAAATACAAAGCATGTAATCAATTATAAGAGAATGATAGGAATGTTGTTAACACTGTCCTAATCCTTTGAAAATATAATCGATTAAAACTTCTTAAATAAGGGCTGGGGTTGTGGCTCAATGGTAGAGCGCTTGCCTAGCTGGGTTTGATCCTCCGCACCATATAAAAATAAATAAATAAAAACAAAGGTATTTTTTAAAAAAATCTTAAATAAAAGATTAACCTTTAAAAAGACATGGCCTTAGAAGTTCATTATTAATTTAATTTACAAAAAGCAAGAAAAAAGATACTAATAATAGGCAGCAACAGAAGATACTTCATTATATTCTTAACACATTCTCTCAGGATATTTTCCACTTAAGTAGATAAGCAAATACGAATTTGAAAATAATGTATGCTCATATTTTTCTACTTGGTTTCAAATATACATGCACACAAATACAGAAAAAAATTTCAATGAATTTTAAATAAAGAATTAATCTTGACTCAGATAAGAGAACAAGTTTGCCTAGATGGTACAATTGCTACACATTCTTAGTGTCTATTCAAACATTATTTCAATTCTTTTGATTAAAATGTACAATAAACTGAACATATTTTAGATAGCCATTAAGAGTACTTTAGATTTACTATTCCAGAAACCATGAATAAGAACTCTAAAATAGGAATGAAGATATTCAGTATAATTTTCACATAATATATTGCAACTATTTTAGAAATTGATATACAGCTACCTATTTAAAATGTTGATAGGATAACTCTAGTAAAATCAGAACAATACTTTTAATCTACTAAAAGTAGAAAATACATGTAGCAAATACTTGAATGAATTGCTCATTCTCTTTTATTTCTAAATTTATCTAGTGATTCCAGGATATTTAACTGATAAAAATTAGGAAATATTATCAATTATTGCCTGTCACTATCTGGTTACATGATACAAGAGAGAAGTAAAGCTTTTCTAATCAACTAAGCGATTGGAGGATTCTAATAGAAGAAATGAATGAAACTTTTTGCAGAAATAGAAAAAGATCATAAGCAAGACTCCTTGAGCTGCTTTTGTCAGTGTGAGATTTCACATGAGATTTTAAGCAAGTGACAGAAAAGATTATACACAGATGAATTATCTGATATTGACTCATAAAATTGATAGTCTGCATATCCTATTAATAAATCATCCCTTAAAAATGTATATTCAGGAGACAGTGGTAACATTCAGTTTTGGAAATTCAAAAGCCTGGATCATACTCTTGCAGATGAAAGTTTTTGAACTCCCATAAGACAATGAGCTTAAAATCAAGCTCTATAGCAAACTTTCTCAAGGGTAGAGGTCTCCTACAACTTCCTGGAAATAAATGTGTATAATTCTAAGGAATTTTGGAAAACAAGATTCCAAGCTTCATTGCCTCACACAACACTGATTATGTGAATGTCATTCTTAAAGAAAACTTTGTTCTGGCTTTTACTGTCAAATCCATTTTATAGTAAGTGTTACATTTTAGTTCTGTTGCTCTAAGGAAATCTTGAGATAAGTGTTTTGAAAAACAAATCAATCTACATGACAACATTTGATATACTGCACTAAATTATCGAGTTGAGAAAACATAAAAAAAATCAGAAGTATCTTCATTTATTATTGTTTCTCCATTTCCTTTTCAGTGTTCTATAATTTATGTGTCATTCCACTATGTTTATGCTTTTTTAGATAGAATTACAGTAAACGCTTGAAGATAAGTCTTTTCTGTACTTCATATTTTAATTCATTTGCCCTTTCCTTTGAAGATAGTAATATTGATGCAAGTGTCTACCAAAATATACATTAATGGCAGTTGTGGTGACTGTGCCTATAATTCCAGTTACTTTGGTGAGAAGGGAGGATCCAAGTTCAAGACAGCCTTGGAAACTTGGAATCTGTCTCTAAATAAAATAAAAAGATCTGTTGTAGCTCAGTGGTAAAGCATCCCTGAGTTCACATATATAATACATATGATAGACATTATATATATGAAATCCTTTTGTAAGTTACTTTTTGAGTTTTCAAAATGTAGCAATATATGTTAATTCACAATTTTCTTAATAAAATAATGCTAAATTATGGCTTCATTTACTCTTTTTATATTTCAGAGACTCTGGGAATGGTTGGTTGACAACAAAGTGAAAGTGAATCCCAAGAGATTCATTAATACACTTGGGCTTTGATATCCACTGAAGACTGCATTAGACATTTTTGTATAAGAAGCCTATCCCAAATCTAAGAAGTTTCCTGGCCTGGCTGGTTCTATATCCAACAGATAAACTGCTTCTTTCTGATGCTAAAGTGAATAAATAATATGAACCTAATATTTTTCTACCCTTAAAGTATTATTCCACTCAAATTAGCAGACTTCATTTCTATCTCATTTTGTCAACAATATTTTATTTTTCTCTGAATTGAGCTTCATGTTACCTATGTTCTTTAAGTTCAATAATAAAATCTAGACAGATATTTACTTTTGAACATTTTGTACATGTTCTGATGAATATCATCTTCTTCTCAATGCATGTTGCTCTCTAGAATTCTCTTTACTTGACTAATTTTAGAGAAACTACTTGCTACTTTGTTACTGCTGTTTCAGAAGATGAGTCTTCTATGCCATGGTTTGTATAGGTATCATCCATAGACACATGTGTTAAAGGCTTGGTCCCCAGACTGTGGCACTACTATTGGGAAGTGATGGATAGAGGCGGGGCCTCTTGGAAGGGGATATTGAGAACTAGCCTTTCTTCTTTCTATCTTTTACTCCCCAGCCATCATGTGGTAAGCAACTTCTATGACCACACACTATCAACCACTCCAAACAAATGGGTCAAATAACTATGGACTGAGACCTCCAAAACTGTGAGCCAAAATAAATCGATGTGATTCTGTAATCTGTATTTGGGGTAAAAATGGGAGTTCATAACCCACTTGAATCTAATGTATGAAATATGATATGTCAAGAGCTTTGTAATGTTTTGAACAATCAATAAAAAAAAATAAAAAAAGAAAAAAAAAAGAAAACAGAGAGCAGGAAGAGAGAAGATAACTTGATTATAATCCCCAGGGACTGTAGGTGACAGACACCGGGATGAGGAGGAGGCCTGGGGGGCGGGGTGTACCAATGGCTGCAGAGGTAGGCAAGTCTACACTGTGGACAAGGAGGAAACTGGAATTCTCCTTTGATGAACTGTGTGCTTGATGAGGTGGGAGGCAGATGTCTGCTAAAGATGAGTGGGGAGAAGGGAAAATAAAAAAATAAAAAAGAAAAAAAATGTGAGGTGATGGTTATGTTAATTAACTTGACTTAATCATTCTACAATGAATACATGTATTAAGACATCCCATTATGCCCCATACATATGTAATTTATATTTTTAATTAAAAATAAATGTTCAATAAACAATAAAACTTCTATAACCATTTCTGAGAAAAAAATAGAGGAAAATTGGTAATGAATATATAAGAGTTCTCTATACTTCCTCTGAAACTTTTTTTGTAAATCTAAAACTATTATAAGATTAAAACTTAAAAACACTTAGCAATATAACTGAGTTACTCAGGGTTATAATACATGATAGTCATTATACTCTTAGTTTCTAGGCTTTTATCGGAGTTCTTATAACTTTCATAAACACAAATTTTGACAGATCATTTTATCAGGATGCACAATATCCTCCACCAAGGAAACTTAATTATCCAAAGATCTCAGAAGTTGATGCTAAATTGTTTTGCATGCTTTTATGTTCCATGTGGAAGTGTTGAAGGAAAGCTTCAGCCATATAACATGATCTATTTGTTTGGGTCCTCTTAAGTTGCTTGGTAGAGTGAGTTTGCATTATTAATATTTACTGGAAGCTATAATTCCATATTATAGATTTATTAATTATGTTGTCCATGAAAGCATAATTAATGAATCTGTCTTATGGGATTAAAGCTTGTTTAAAAGAATTTTTTGAAGTAAAGCATGATCAATTGGACTAAAATTCTTTGGGTACATAAACAGATCTGAATATAAGTGAAATATTTTATTTTTTTAAGCCATCAGGTTAAGTTTTATAATTCTTTAGGTCTAATAATTTAAGGCTTACCCTAAAACCTAACTTAAGGGTGTATTAAAACAGTCCTAAAATTTTATAGAAATATACACACACATTGAAATGTATTGCTGCTATAACAATGTTATTCTTATGTAAAGTATGTAGGTAATTTTTATTTGTGTTATATCGATGATATACTATTCTTAATATTTTCATTTTTACACAAGAAAATACATTTATTCATACAGCTGTTCAACATGTATTGAGTATACTTAGGCTTCCATATGCTTAGATTTTAAGTTTTGCTGTGATTCACCCTGCTGGGAAGATGTGATCAGACTTGCTGTAGACCTAAGGACTTAGTAAGAAAAGGAATATA